GTTAAAGTTCATAAAATATAGCTTGATCTCTGCGACAGCTGTCAGTAAAGATCACGCCTATGAAGTCCTGAATTTCTTAGTAGTACAGACACACAGTACCTGTCAATGTCATACTTTGTGGGTATGCCGAACTAATTAGTGCATGCCCCACAGATTACCTCCTAATAGATTCCGCATACAGGGCCACAAACGCGCGCAACACATACTTGCTGTAGCTAGCATATGAAGTGACGCTAAGAATCACGATATCATTGTCGACCAAGTTTGTGACCCGTAGGCACGTCCGAGTTTTTGAAAATTTAAAAATAGTTTTGGTATCCAAAATACATTACAAATGGCTTCCTATGCAGTGAAATGGTGTGGCAAGTCAGCTAAGACATCCAGTTATCAAAAAGATGGCATAATATTTCATCGGTAAGTAAATTTTATTCTTATCACGTTAACCTATTTCAAATGCACCGGAGTTCAACTTACACTGGATATAAATTTGCAAAGTGATATCATTTGAGTACCCGTTGATGTCTTTTTTAATACGTCCCTTTCACTCGTTACGTAAATTAAAATAGTTGTCTTTGTCTAACGACAGCACGTGTATCGATAGTATTGTGATTTATAAGTCGATATTTGTTTGGTCATCGTTTACTTTTCTTTTGTAGTCATTATTTTATACAAATAGTGGCTTATAATTGTGGTACCTATATGTAATAGGTTTCCTAAATGCCCCGAAAGGAAAAGATGTGGATCGACGCTACATGTCGAGGGGACCAATGGTTGCCCACCAAAAATAGTGTGCTATGCTCAAGACACTTCACAGAAGACAATCTTCATATTATGAAAAACCGTAGAAGGCTGTTGGATTCCGCTATACTATCTCTATACTTGCCAGTTTTAGTATAGAATTTTACATTTTTTTAAAAGTATAATACCAATGGTGAAAATTACACAATAAGTAATAGCATTAAGTGGTTGATGGAAACGTGATATTCTAATATTTAATGAATTTACTGTTACTGTGAATTGAATGCTACACGTCGAAATTAAACTATTTTTAACGGATTTATAAACCATAAAACAAGTGAAAGTTATAATGTGATTAATGTTATTCTAGTGTTGCATGAACTTCAGTAATATCCTATTATTATTATTATTAAGTACATCTAAATTTGAAACATGTACCGTATGGTTTTTTTAATTAATAATACTACCTTTAGGTGCAACACTAAGCAAAAATATTGTCACCACTGAAAGGACATATCATAACACACACAAAGGATTCACACCATTTTGTTAGTGAGATAAAAGAAATACATCTCGCTGACAATGAAACTATGGTCAGTTTTGGTGGTCAGTCACTATTCATATGCCTAATTATTGAAGACTGCTTTTCAATTGTAACTAGGAAGCTACAAGATAACAACATGCTTGCAGAATATGCAGTATTACTCAAACACTGCTTCACATCTGACTATCTATTGTAGAAGGAAGGGTTCTACAAGCAAGTTGATGGTGTAGCGATGGGCTCACCTGTATTTCCTATAGTCGCCGACAAATATCATAGAGAATTTTGAGGAGAAACCCTTCTTACTGCTCCTATAAATCCAAGATTCTACAAGCGTTACGTAGACGACACTTTCAAAATTTTACCGTCTGACAAAGCAACTGCAGTTTTAGACCACCTTAACTCCATAAGCTACAAAATAAAAATCACGATGGAGTTAGAGGCAAATAATACTTTAGCTTTCCTAGATGTTTTAGTCATCCGAAATCCTGATAACACTATTGGTCATACTATGTATAGGAAAAAGGCCTATACCAACCGATATTTAAATGGTGAATCTCACCATCATTCTTCATAGTTTGCTACTGTGGGTAAATATTTGTTTCAGAGAGCACAAGGGATCTGTGACAGAATACATCTGGCTGCCGAGCTGCAGCATGTCAATCAAGTATTGCAAGACAACAAGCTTGGGGTCCCAAGCCTACGTCACAGCGACCGAGTGAAGCCGGTTACAGTCGGTGGATGGGTGCTGTCATCTGCTTGGTATCCTATAATTAACAAAATCTATCCAAGACCAAGCATACTACTGCAAGACTTCAAGATACTGTAAGCTCGTTTTATGTAGATCGGGACCAAAAATCAATATTCAAAAAGTGAAGATAGCCGGACTAACTATGAGATGTCAAACATTTAAGTCTCCCTGTGACCATAAATTAATTAAATGCGATAAAATCCATATAATTATACAGTTGTATTCAATGTGTAGTGTTCGCGTAAATTTAAGAAATCATTATATTACATGTACATGTACAAATATATATATATATATATATATATATATATATATATATATATATATATATATATATATATATATATATTTCTTTTATTTATATACACTGTTTGACTTTTTAATAAATTTCAAATAAAAATTGATCAATTCATTTATTTATCAATCAATAAATCCCAAATAGAAAAACTGTCTATATGGTTGGCTAAGTTCAACCTTGAATTATCCAATCACAGCACATTTGACGCGTCCCCCGCAACCCGAAATTTGGTGAAATCGAAACAGAATAAATATTCCATGATGCGGTATCTATTAGGAGGTAATCTGTGGCATGCCCATAAAGTATGACATTGACAGGTACTGTGTGTCTGTACTACTAAGAAAATCAAGACTTCGTAGGCGTGATTTTTACTGACAGCTGTCGCAGAGATCAAGCTATTTTTTATGAACTATAGTATCATCTCATCAATTTTGTTGAAAACCACAGATAATAATAAAGTAACTACTAAAAGAAGCATACTGTCACACTTGCCCCATTGATGCGTAAGTGTGACAGTCATCCACCTCAATTAGTTTTAATTACCTCAAATTACAAAATGCTACTTGTATATACTAAAATGCGTTTTAATTTATTTATGTCACACTTGCCCCAGGTGACCTTATATTTCTTTTCAGTACCGTCATTTAACCACTAAACTCCCGATTGGATCCGTTCGAACACACAAATGTCATCTTGTAGACCACGCCAAAGAGTATAGTAATATTTAGAAGGGACGCCTTAGAACCAAAGATATTACACGAAATATATACAGGTATATAAACACTAACTTTACGCAGAACCATGGATAAGGATGGAAGGGATAAGAGTGCTCAGAACGATTCTTTTATAAATGTTATTTGTAAGAATTGTATATAGTTTTAGTAGTTTTAGGATAGTATATTGTTATATTTAGGATTAGATACATAATAAGAAACAATTTAAATAGAATTGAAATTTATAGCAATAGGAGTTAAAAGACCTTTACAGGATGTAGATTTTCTCGATTTTTTTTTATAAATGCTTGTAATTTTTAAAATACATAGCAAAGATTTCTTTTAAATTTTTCTGTTAACTGTTATGAAAACCTATTGACGCGACTATATACACATACACATAGAATATTAACAATTTTTTGGGGGCCTGTGGAGAACGAACCTGGGTTGCTAGCCTACTGTGAAATTTAAGGCAAACTACTAGCCCCTGAGATACCAGGGCTTATTTTTAATCATTGTATGGCCTACAAATAATTCCTCTATCTTAATCGTTCCTCAAACTTCCACCGCTGCACATGGATGGATCTCTCCCCATGTAGGGAGGATTTGAGTCAGTCTTCATGCTTGGCATATGATTGACGTTCGTAGAACCAGACGTGAGCACCTCTGGCAATGTTCTCTGTCGCCGGTCTGGATATTTTGCATCTGAAGTAAACGAGGTTATACCGCCATCTGTCGGAAAACCAAGTCGTCTCTTACGAAACCCACGGGATAAAATGTGATGGATGATGAGTTCTCTTATGCCGCACTTACAGTCCAAATTCGACTGTACTCTGTGTGTGCAATACTAGTTCTGTGTGGAATTCGAAACAGCTATTATAAGATAAGATTCTAATACTACTATTCTTAGTTCATACTATTTTTCTATTTTATTTTTCGTAATATTTTTAGTTCATTCCATTAAATAATTATGTTATGTTAATTTGTGTGTATGTTTGGAACTAAATAAATTATATTATTATTATTATTATTCAGTGGGGTATCTATATAGTTTTCTCATCTGGTTGGGTTCTATAAATATATAGGTCCCGCTAGGAAATGCTAAGCACTGCTGGGTTCTGCCATTGCTCGTTGGCTAAGGATAAAAGGGTAAGCCCTTTATCACTAGAAATGACGTAATTATAGAATGGATCATCCGATCTCGCCAGGAAGTAATGACGGAGGCTGCACACTTCACGATTATGCATGGTGAGCGCGCTCAGAAAGCCGCGCCCACCATGCTTTCACGGCAAGTACAGCCTCATTACCGACAATCTCGGATGATGCATCCTATGGGACATGGTCATGGTAGTGCGGACTTTTCTATCCAGGGCGTTAAGTTCAGTCTGAGTCCACCTTAGTATGCCAAAGGTATACACATAAGGACAGGCATGACCCAACCGTTATATGCGTGTGTCTTATTCACACTGGACAAAAGGCTATTAAGCACTTTTTAAGTCACTTTTGTACCTCCTTTCTGTAGCTGGAATCCTCTCCCGGATCCCTCCAGTAAGGTACTGAGAGGGTTCAGGGAGAGGCAGAACCAGATTGGACTAAGACAATCGCCCTGGAAGATACCCCTTCTTATCCTTGTGCGGCTTCCCGCAGCCGTCATCTGCTCGCCTAGATGACAGAGGATCGTACTCCACTGCCCCATACACTGCTCGGGGAGGTCTCGAACTATACAGTCAATCTTGTACAGCTCGAGGACCCTCTTTAGCCATGTATGGGTCACCGGGTCAAAAGCCTTTTCGTAGTCTATCCAGACGGCGGAGAAGTTCCGACGGTTGCGTTTCGCCACTTTGCCAATGAACGCGTCAATGAGGAGTGGTTCCTTGGTTCCACGATCGCCGCCCCGACATCCATTTTGAGCGCGGGACATCACCTGATTTGAGTCCAGGTGACGAGTGATTCTGGCGCTCAAAATGGATGTAAGTGTCTTGTATATGGTCGGTAGACACGTGATGGGGCGGTATTTGCTCGGGCTATGGTGTCCTGGTCTTTAGGAACCAAATAAGTGATCCCAGTAGTGAAGAGGCTCGGGAGCGATTTCTGGTTGAGAGCCTCTTGGAACTGTCGGGCGAGCACAGTGTGACACACCACAAACTCCTTCAGCCAGTAGTGATGCAGCCCGACGAGTCCCGGACTTTTCCAGTTCGGGGCCCTACGGATCGCATCAGCTACGTCATCCGGCGTCATAATGACGGGGTTCATGGGCGTTATACTCGCACACTGACTCGCCACAACTTCAGTCCAAGGGCCCTCGCTGTGGTTTACGGGCTCTGACCACAGGCTGCGCAAGAATGCTACAGTGTCGGCCTGATTCGGTGCTGGGCCCGTTCCACTTAACATTGGTCGCTCCAATGATTTATAGAGAACAAACTAACATTTGTCCCAGCAAATGCCATCCTGACGGTGCGCACAATCCTTGGCCTGTTGTTGCCTGACCTGAAGCATATCAGTCTGCCGATGAGGCCCTAGCCTTTGCGATGCGTTCTTCAATTCTTATTCTCCAGGCTGGGATAGCGCTACTTTGTCCATTAGCGCGTCCAGCCGTGGAAAGTTTGGCGCCTATGATACGGCACACTGCCAGTGCGGCGCCAAAAAGAATTGAGTTCGTCTCGCAAAGGTCCCGGCTGGCTTCTAAACAGGTCACCAGCATTGGGTTCAGAGCCCTCACGATAGTTCGATTCCGCTTGCTTAGGGCTATGCGGGGAAGTCGCGGTCGATTTTCGAGAGGCGTACTGCGCGTTTCCACAATCGCTTCTTCCAATGTACTCCTCATATGCTCTAATTCCAGTTCCTGGGCGACTGTTCCATCATCGCTTGAATCAACCACAACAGGGGTATTCACGGCTGCATTCACGTTTGCGGGTTGCTCTGCAATTTGTGGCGCCGCATCCTCAGCCGTAGCATTTTCATCCGACGAGGGAGCCACGGGAGGGCCTCACGTCGTAGCCGTTCGAGTTCGGCGACATCAAATATATTTGAGCGCAAGATATACCGAACTCGGTCTGCCAGGTTTTGCTCTGTGCCGGTTAAAGATGGCTCCAGCTCAGCAAAAAGACGATGCATCCTAGCCCGATACGTAAACCTCCAACTTCTCCCCCTTTCGCCCTATAATACGCCCGTAATGCTTTAGTATTCATTTCGGTTGTCCATCGCATGCGGCGTACTCCACCAGTGGCGGGTGCTGATTGCTGGGCCCGCGAAGACCCTGCCGACACCAAGCCAGCACTTCTCGCTCGGTTGGCGGTTTGTATGCTATCGCGTCCAGCGCCAGCTCCAGACGCGCCCTGGCGACCTCCAGGCAGCGGCCCTTTGCGCATTCTTCCGTATTCCATCATCCATAGTGGTGGGCGTCATTTAACGGGAGACGCCCAGACCCGGCGCCGTTTCATGGTGGGGCCATGTGCACAATAATAATAATAATATTACTCCTAGACTATATTCTTAATATCTACCAAAAAACTGGTCAAAATCTATGTATGTTATAACACTTTTTCTGTGTTGGATTCAAACCAGCGATTATTACATTAATGTAATTATAACACAGCCAGAGGAATTTCGTCATTATTATTCATATTTAGAATATTAACTGTTTCCCCTTTCCCCTTCAAAAATTAAATTGAGAGACATTATCCAGAGTAATTGGCTAAAATACTTTATATCTTGCAATTTTAAATGAGTGTAATTATGTAAAATATTATAATTTCTCTATATCTCCCTGGTAAGGCATAAATTTCGCCCGCTCTAAACCGTCTAAGCTACCTTACAATAAATAAACAATGTGTTACAATAAATAAAATGTTTGATTCATTTGTATTTCAGAACAGCCCTGCATACAAACAAACAATTTTTCAAAACCGTGTGAGAAAAAGATAAAATCAATTTCTACTGATTGTAAAATAAATGATGTTCGTAAAGGAGACCTCGATTTAGAAAGCCCTACTATTAAATCGAAGCCTAAACTGAAAAGAGATACTCAACCAGTTATTAAAAAAGGGAAGCATCCTGCAAAAATTATGAAAAAGAAAATTTTTAAACAGACTATAAATATACTTACAAAAAACACATCCGAGGCATCGGCAAAATACATATTTGAATGTGATGATTGTAGAAAAAAGTTTTTGACAAAAAGTAAGTTGCTAAGGCATATGAAAATACACACCGGAGAAAAACCTTTTTCGTGTAATATCTGTGAATATAAATCTATTACAAATGGTCATTTGCAAACACATATGAAAATACACACCGGAGAAAAATCTTTTTCGTGTAATATCTGTGAATATAAATCTGTTACGAAAAGTTATTTGCAAGCACATATGAAAATACACACCGGTGTAAAACCTTTTTCATGTGATATCTGTGAACATAGATTTTTTACAAAAAGTAAGTTGCTAAGGCATATGAAAATACACACCGGAGAAAAACCTTTTTCGTGTAATATCTGTGAATATAAATCTATTAGAAATGGTCATTTGCAAACACATATGAAAATACACACCGGAGAAAAACCTTTTTCGTGTAATATCTGTGATTATAAATCTGTTGCGAAAAGTTATTTGCAAGCACATATGAAAATACACACCGGTGAGAAACCTTTTGTGTGTAATATCTGTAAATATAAATCTATTACAAAAAGGCATTTGCAAACACATATGAAAATACACACCGGTGAAAAACCTTTTTCGTGTAATATCTGTGAATATAAGTCGATTACAAAAAGTCATTTGCAAACACATATGAAAATACACACCGGTGAAAAACCTTTTTCGTGTAATATCTGTGAAGATAGATTTTTTACAAAAAGTAAGTTGCTAAGGCATATGAAAATACACACCGGAGAAAAACGTTTTTCGTGTAATATCTGTGAATATAAGTCGATTACAAAAAGTCATTTGCAAACACATATGAAAATACACATCGGTGAAAAACCTTTTTCGTGTAATATCTGTGAACATAGATTTTTTGCAAAAAGTAAGTTGCTAAGGCATATGAAAATACACACCGGAGAAAAACCTTTTTCGTGTAATATCTGTGAATATAAGTCTATTACAAAAAGTCATTTGCAAATACATATGAAAATACACACTGGTGAAAAACCTTTTTCGTGTAATACCTGTGAATATAAATCTATCACAAAAAGTCAATTGAAAACACATATGAAAATACACATCGGAGAAAAACCTTTTTCGTGTAATATCTGTGAATTCAGATGTAATACAAAAAGTTATTTGCAAACACATATGAAAATACACACCGGTGAAAAACCTTTTTCGTGTAATATCTGTAAATATAAATCTATTACAAATTGGTCATTTACAAACACATATGAAAATACACACCGGAGAAAAACCTTTTTCGTGTAATATCTGTGAATATAAATCTGTTACGAAAAGTTATTTGCAAGCACATATGAAAATACACACCGGTGAGAAACCTTTTTTGTGTAATATCTGTAAATATAAATCTATTACAAAAAGTCATTTGCAAACACATATGAAAATACACACCGGTGAAAAACCTTTTTCGTGTAATATCTGTGAATATAAATGTGCAAGAAAAGCTTATTTAAAACGACACATAAAAATACACACCGGTGAAAAACCCTTCTCGTGTAATATCTGTGAATTTAGATGTATTACAAAGAGTTATTTGCAAACACACATGAAAATGCACACCGATGTAAAACCTTTTTCATGTGATATCTGTGAACATAGATTTTTTGCAAAAAGTGAGTTGCTAAGGCATACGAAAATACACACCGGAGAAAAACCTTTTTCGTGTAATATCTGTAAATATAAATCTATTACAAAAAATCATTTGCAAACACATATGAAAATACACACTGGTGAGAAACCTTTTTCGTGTAATGCCTGTGAATATAAATGTATCACAAAAAGTCAATTGAAAACACATATGAAAATACACACCGGAGAAAAACCTTTTTCGTGTAATATCTGTGAATTCAGATGTAATACAAAAAGTTATTTGCAAACACATATGAAAATACACACCGGTGAAAAACCTTTTTCGTGTAATATCTGTAAATATAGATGTATTACAAAGGGTAATTTGCAAACACATATGAAAATACACACCGGTGAAAAACCTTTTTCGTGTAATATCTGTGAATATAGATGTATTACAAAGAGTAATTTGCAAACACATATGACAATACACACCGGTGAAAAACCTTTTTCGTGTAATATATGTGAATATAGATGTATTAGAAAAAGTTATTTGCAAAAGCATTTGAATATACACACTGGAGCAAAATCTTCGTGAGGTATCCGGTAAAATATGTACAATAGCTGTGAAAACCCGCTTCGCTGGGTTAGTTTTTGTCTATTGATTTATTCATGTATGTATATTTTATTAAATTAGTTATTTTTAAAATTAAGAATACATGACTTTTCTTGTTACATTTTTAAGTTTTTTTTCTTACTTAGTTTTATTCATTATACAAAAATACTTTACAGATAGTCATGTACTAAATACCTATATTACAATACATTCTTATGCACTACATTTACTGTCTTATGTACTGGTGCAGACATGAATAAACTTTTTTATGTCCAACGCGCGAAAATGTTTCATAGAGTTGACCATGTGAAAAACGGGATTCTCCCAAATTCACTCCACAATATTAGAACGTTTGCCTTATTGATAGTTATACTGTAAGCCAATCGTAGAGGAAACTGTAACCGTTGAAAATATAATGGTAAATAATTTGAAATTAGTTGAATTCGTGGTATAAAAACGGATTTTCCTTTTTCTTTGCCAGTTAGAATTACTGCCTCAATAATGTAGTTGAGAAGTTGTTTTATACATAATCTTGTACCGTTACATAATTTTGACGATTTGAGATTTCATAATAATACGACTAGTGATCCAATTTTTAGCTTCAATGCATACAAAGGCATACTAGGCGGATTCGGTGAAGTTAATAATTCTGTTGGGAAGTTCACACTTTCGTCTTGATACATCATTTTGTCTATTGATTTATACAGTTTTTCATCTGGTGTTATATTCTGTATCCTTTCATTAATTTGATGCACTACATCATCTTTTCTAGCTAAAATTGCTCGCTCACACAACCATATCCTATTTAGATAATTCTGTTCAATAGACGGATAAACTTTTTCAATAAGTTCTTCTTCTGTATCTACTACGTTACATAATTCTTCTAATAGAATTAGTTTGCCTAACTGTGAATCTATATAGGATATATAATATAGGATTGGTGTCATTGCCAATTTTTAACAGATTTTCAACAAACTTGTGCTTCTGGATCTCCAGTAATCTTTGCTCGTATATTTTCTGTTAATGATAATTTGTCGATACGA